AAGGTAGCAAATTTGTGATTTATAGTAACGACTTTTCTTTCAAAGCAAGATCCACCTCACTTCCTCTCTACCTAGGGGCGTTCTTTCCCCTAAGCAGGTGAAGAAAGGGTTTAATATGCACCAGTGCGCATTAGTCCATTTAATCGAATAAAACACCAACTGTCTAGTATTTAGTTCATTTTTTCGGAATTTTTTTAAATTTGAATTTTTTCTTAATCCTACTTTAATAATGCGCAGAAGACTTCGAAACATAGCGCATTAATTTTTTTATATGAAATATATTATATACGTGACTTTAATGGAGCACAAACATTTTAGATCGACCATTTTTAATTTGCTATTATCGATTTTTCTATTTAATAAATGGATTCATAGTCAGCGTATTAGCTCTTAAAGAGCAAATTCGGATTAGTTTTAATAAAAAAATTCAGTAACTACGTATAAAACTAGATATCAATAGCGCCATTTTAGATTCCCTATTTTCATAATTTTTAATAACAGATTCATGATGAGCGACCTTTAAAACCCTTAAATATCAATTATTGAGAAACTTCTACAATACATCCGATTCACGATAAGTTCTAACATGGTATACAAAAATTCGATTTACAAAAGAAAAATACGGTATAACATAAAAAATTTTAAATAAGAATAAAAAGACTCCAAGAATAATAAACAATAAATAATACTATTAAGGGCGATAGGAGTCAGTTTGATTCCAAAAGGCATCAACTTACGGACTATAGTTTTATTTAATTGTTTTCTTTCTTGGTTTTTTCATAATACGGTTTTAAATATAAAATCGGAGTACAGGGTAAACCGACACACCTGTCGGTAAAACAAATCATGAACTACTTAATCTTTGTTATGTTGCTTTATAGTGTTAAATAATTCTATCGGAGTTGAAGGCAATGGTACATATATGAGAAAGCCCTTGAAAAATTATTGCGTCACATATTTGCATCTTGCAGAACAGCATAAAGTAAATACGCATATAATTCAATAAAAATGTTTTATATCGAAGTGAAAAAATTCTGGAAAATCTTATATACTGTGACGACAATTTTATCGTCACGCCTATAGTACAAGGCGAAGATGCGTTGAATTTCGAAGAAAGTTACGTATATCGTTTCCCGACACATGAGCCGTTTAGGCACAACATTGTTATTACATATAATATTGCCTGTACATACATTTCGGCAAAATAATAGAAGCATTTAAATGCCTCCTACATTCTTATGACAGTTCGCGGTTAAATTCCTTCCTCGCAATGTATCGCAAATCAAAACGAACTGCATGTTATCAAATTATATAACTATAAATCGTATGTTGTAATTATTATCTTTTGCGGTTTAAACGAATTTATTTAAGATATAGCATAAAAGTAATGATAAATAGTAACGACCTGCGGAAACAATATTTATTAAAAAAATTCTCGAACAGAGCACGGAATGTGCGAACGTTCTCGTGAGCAGGAAAGCTGCTGTGATGATTCGACTGTAAGACTTCGAAGAGATAACATACGTGTACATACAAGACTATTAAAAAGGAAAATTGATTATAATCGCGAGTCTCAATCTTTCCATATCGCCACTACGGACATAATTCCTTCGCGAAGATCTTACGAGCTCCGGACACGTCCCAAATTATCAAAATACATTCACTTGTAGGTATTTTATTCAGATAATTTCTGTAAAAGAAAAAAAATAGGAATATGTGGCAAAAATAAAACATTACTGCCCACTGTGTCAGTTTTGGAGTCTATTTTGTCAGACGCTCATTTTTGCTTATCTTACGAAAAAATTAATTATTGCAAAATTACAAACTGTATTATAAAAATTGCTTATATTATCTGATAGAAGACATTTTTTAGTTTGTATTTATGTATTTAAAGTTTTATTTTTATCTTTTGTTTAAGAAATATTGTCTAAAAACAAAGTGATATGTCGGTATCGGCAACAATATTCCCTATTTTTTTCAAATAGTGTTATTTATGTATATTAAATTACATTTATTTCTTTATGCGCTTTGACATATATCTGGAGACACGACGTGCTGTGTCTCGGCGCTAAGAAAAGAGCAGTGACACCGTAGCGTGAAAAACCATTACCAAAATTTCGTAGCTTCTATTTAAAAAAGTTCTATACAGGATGAAGTGAATTTGAATAAAAGGCAGGATTAGCAAAAATAAAAAATGGCTGAAATATACTTTAAACTGTTTAAAATATACTTAATCGATTTTCCAACATGTTTTATGTTTTAAACATATTTTTTATATAATACTGTTTAAAGCACGTATAAAGCATTAAAAACATGTATTTAAAAAACACAATGTTCTTTATCTTTCGCCAACTCTGACGAAAGAAGGAAATAAGAGGATAGAGAAAGCCAAAACTTTTACATTTACCTAATGTCAATGTGAGTAGTGTGAAAAGAGGAAGAGCTGTTGCCGAGAGGATCATGCCGAATTAATCGCGAACCAGAGGGCCGTGTGTCCACAAATAAACCTGCAAGAGGAACCGCGAAACACATACGAACGTGTACAACCATGTACTGAGAAAGATAGGTCCGTGACACGTGCGCGTAGATAAAGTCAGGCATCCCCTCTCTATGGTAAAACCGATTCGCCTGTAGAGCTTGTAAATTTGTTGATTATATCGCACATTACATCGTTAAACCAATCTTATCAATCAATCACGAGTCGCGTAATGAAACTTTATACAATACAGTTTCTTTGTTTCTTCTTGTATGAATTTTCTGATTATGTTATTAATTTTGTATCGTTATTATACTGAGAGAAAAATCTTTAATATTTGTGATAGTAATTATATGGTAAAATAATCGTCAATAGAAGCTCTATTGTCATGATTATTACTGCTATAATGTCAATAATAAAAACTATATATATATATATAGTTCTTTCAAATATGAAAAAATTATACTTTAAATTATAATAATTTTAAATATTAGTATAGTAAAATATCAAGATGTAAATAATAAATAAAATAAACATTTTTATTCAATAAATGCAATCGCAATTATAATGAATATATCTATTTTCCTAAATTTATTTACTATTTATGTGGTAATAATAATTAAAAAATATGTTAACAAAAAAGCTAAAGAATTCCTAGCATCGTGTGTGCAGCTATTATTAATAGCACAATTAACTTGCATAGTTAAAACAATTACAAATATATATCAGTTTCAAAAAGTGACTATAAATTCAATTATGGTAATTGCAATTTTTTTTCTCTTAATGTACATATTACATAAGAGATAAGAGTCATATACTAAAATATGCACGCAAATATTGTATGCAAATATCACGCCAGAGCGAAAGTAAGAATTATACAGATTTGTATAAATCATGATATTTTTGAATAAATTCTTAATTTTCATTAGATATAAATTTCAGATAAATATACAATTTATAGTAGTTAAATATTTATTCGTTTGTTGAAAATTCTTATCATAATTTAGAAAGCGAGGCATCTGCGGGTTCGATTTTTGGACGAAATAGTTCTTTTTGCAATAAAATTATTTACAGATTTAACGCTTATCAGCATCATATTATTAACATCTTTTAAACATGTTTATAAGCATTAATATCAATAAATTGCTTATCAATTTAATTTGTGATATCGGTGCTCTAATTCTGTTAATATTGCATTTTAAGAATGAAAATTAAATTCGGAGCGCAGTTTGCAGGATTGAATATGTATATAAATTTATACAGAATTATTTAAGCACCAAAGATCCATCTTGAGTGTTTAAGACCTTTTCCGATTTGTTGTTATACCATAATTTACACACATAAAAGTTCCTAATTGTTAATTAAATATTATTAATTGTAAATTATATTATAAATTTAAGTATTATAATATATAATTTTGTATTATCTATAATATTTTACAATATTCATAGTCATTTGAAATATTGAGCTTTTAAATTCGATACTGTTATTCTTGATTAAAATTTTTCGATTATTTAATTCCTCATTAATTTTCTACTTAAAAGATACAAATGTGCAATTATGCACATACAAAACATTTTCATGCTGCGTTTTTAATCAACACAAAATAAAACAAGAGTATGATCACGTATGTAATGTGACGTGAGCATGACTTAAATAAATTCCTGCAACGTAAAGAAAATTAAGCAACGTGGTAACATTGTGATGCCAAGGGCATAGAAATGTAAAACGGGCCGCGTGATCGCGTGACGCCTGAATGTCATTGTGTACAATGTCGCTATCAATTTCTGGGCTCTACTATTAGCTTTATCCGTAGTTCAAACTTCGACATTTCTCGATTAAAATTATTTATTCAGAAATTAAAACCGCAACAAAAAATCCAACAACACTTTTATTATACAATGTTATTGCGATCTTTCGATTGTAATCAATCTGAATAAAATTGGTGCAGCTAATACCGATATCTCGAGATCAAGTGCGTAAAATGTATCATTTTATATCACATTATCGATTTTCAGATTTTTTTCAGTCACACGGACGGAGCATGGAAGCATATATGTAAAGCATTTTGTCCGTCAACGTACTTTCACAATGTATTTTCATATACAATTATATTATATTAAAATTAGCAATATGAGTATTTGTATCAATTATACATATATCTCACATTCTTCTGATACGTTATGATTGATTATTACCTTCGCCATTATTATCCAAAACACACGATAGTTTTGGAATTAATAAAAAAAAAAACCGTGTAAATAACCGCGATAAAATCAGTGAAAACAGCATAACGTGGGCGCAGGCACTGGAAATAAAATTCATTTATTTCCGTTGCGCAATTGCGACCGGAACTAATCCTCTTGCGTCTGCGTCTGCGCCCTTACCCCGGATCTACAACAGATATTTTAAGCCTTAAGTCGTAAGAAATTGACCAATTACAGTCGAACATATCTCTTTTTTTTACCGTTGATTATTATCACGTAAACAAATCTACATTGGTCACGGCTTTCAAATCCATCGATGAATGGATCATCTGTTGTCTTCTGATGAATTGCCAGGGCGACAGATGTTCGTTTGTCAGCGTAGCGTCATCTCGCCTGTACGAATTTCCGCTTGAAGTGGAGCTGACGCGAGCGAATAGCCACAGCGCTGAGACACGATCTATAACCGTTAATCCCACGGAATCCGAAATCGCTTCAATCGTGGATCACACAAGCGAAGCCGACCAGGCAGCGGTCACCAAGTACCGGAAATCCCGGCGCAAGAAATCGAAGAACGCTGCCGTCGCCGTCGCCGCCGCCGGCGACTCCAAAGTGCGTTTCTCGAATTTGACGCAAGGTCCCTCCTTTTGTATTTCTTGCCATTTCTAATTTTATTTGCAATTTGTTGTAATACAATCATATAATTTTTTTTTGTTTCAATGATTTAGCAGAATTTAGCTACTCAAAAGCCAAAAAACGCATTAATTAAAATGTCTATAAAAATTTAAACTGGAGGAAAGAGAAGAACTCGGATTTATTAGACAATTAGTTTCGAGTCGTAATATTTTATGAACGGAAAAATTTAAGGCTCCAAGAATTTCAAAATTTAACTTTTTCCCCCACTCTCAAAATCTTTCCGAGATTTTTTCTTCGAAAGCACTCGTACCATTTTCATCCAAGGAAAATGAAATAAAGAAACATTGATTTATATATCTTTTGAGGCAAAGGAAATGGCAAATACTTGCACCGAATTCCGAAAAGAGATACATAAGTCTTTCGTCCTGCCGGCTATGCAAACACCGTCTTACTCCGTAACAACAATACAGAACCAAACGAGCTCGACCACAGCCATGCGACCTCGATCTCTTTATACTTCGCACAATTATCATTCTCAGCCCGAGGATCCTAATTTTCAAGTACATCCAATCCTGGAACTTTATTTTTCATTCCTAATCTATTATATCTGTAACTTTTAAACATAGGTTGTATGTATTTAAGAATGAGACTTCCAAGTATTAACAAAAATATTGAAATAAAAATTAAGTGATTTTGCTTATTTAGATTGTATACTTCAGAAAAATAATTACAGATTAGCCAAAATAAAACTAATAAAAAACTAAAGAAAAAATATATATAACTGTAAAAAAAAATACTATCAAGTTTCTTATAAAAATTTGTCTCATATATATTCTATAATCACTCATATCATACATAGCCGATACATACTAATAATTCTATTACAATAGTTGCATGCTAAGTAAAAGAAAAATAACAGAAAATTCTTTTCAAAATTTTTTGAATATTGGAAGCATAATTGCTCAAGATATTATAAAATTTTAAGATATACCGTTATAGAAATTTATTATAGTGACTTCTATAAGCTTCTTCCGGATGATCTTATAGCGATATAGCGACCTGTCCAAGTACTTCGAACCTCCGGCTGAACAATGGAACGGTTTAAGTGGGACAACTGCGTACTCTGGATCGGCGACGATTTGGCGGCAGGCTAGAAAGTCGATCGGTGGACCTTATTATGCGGCCGAAGAAGCTTCCATTTATACGGAGAACTGGAGAGAACATGACGCTGACGTCGGAGGTGTCGTCGCCACTCCTCATGGTACCATATCGTTGAGGTTGCACAATAGAATACGAGTGGACATGACCATTGATCGCGCCGTCAGAATCATCAACTTCAAGGTGACTGTTTAAAAATGTTTCCTTATTTTCGTAATATTATTTATATATAATAATAAAATAAAGTATTTAAACGGAGATATATAAAAAAATATTTGACAAAATATAAAGTTATATTAGAAATTAGACAATTTTTAATAAAAAAAAATTTTAATTAAGAAATAATTAATGTTGAAGATTTTTCTCTTAATCACACGGAGTTGCAGTGGAAAATTTTGAAATTTATGAAATAGAGGATGTAATTATATACGAATCCAAATTTACATCTGTAGGATAAATGTATAAAAAATTAGATACAAAATATTCAATAAAAAAATTATAAATAAAGTCATATAAAAAATATTAATAAACAATAATTTTAATTAAAAAAGAATTGATGTTAAAAAGAGTTTTCTTTTAATAATACAGAACTATTATGTAAAATTTTGACATTCGTGAAATGGAGGATCTGATCACAAGTCCGGAAATTCAGAGCTACATCCTGTTTTTCATTTTTGTAGAATAATATTGTCCTGTCACTAAGCAGTTCCGGAGCTGCTGCCGCGTTGCTGCATCCCAATGGCAGAATATATCAGTATGGTTCCCGTGTGGAGATCGTCGCCCATGACACGCACGGCAATAATAAGTTAGTTCAAGTGTTATCATTACGTGATTATTAATTAATACTGAACCGCTTGTTTTAACAGATACGCAAAGATGTGGTACAAGGGGGTCAGTTTCACATCGGAGCAATGCGCGCTTGTTTACCTGGTGGACACGGCTGGGACCAGAACCACAACGGATTCCTTCTCGGATATGAGTCAGGTAGGACGAGCCAAATAGAGCGGAGATTTATTTTACATTCATGGATATTAACCAGCTCAAAATATTGTTTTATTTTCAATTCAAATCGCACGTAATTATTTTGGTTCTTAGACTTGTAGCTTAAATTCGTTTTTTCGAATTTTTCTTTTTTCTATTTTAAGTAATTCAGTTTCTTGATTTTTTAAATATTTTTGATTGTATAAGCTTTGTTAAATGAGCATTTCTAAAAAATTTCAAGTCGATAATCTTATATCATTCCTTTCGATCAAAAATTATTCATTAATTTAATTATTTTCAATTTTCATTTTAAAAAACCATTACTCTCATAAAGCAAAACTAATTTTGTGAAACTAAAATCTTTCTTTTTATAAATGTCCTATTAATTCATTGACTAATGTTGATTCAAAACAGTAGTGATATAAAGTGGTTAAGACAAATGTTTTAAATTATTATCTCAATAACTATACAACTAGAAATTATAAAACAAAGTTTCATAAAGAATATAATAAATTTATTGCAATTCTTTACTAATAATTCGTAGGATTTTTCATTGAGTGTCTTCTATTCGGGCTCTCGGCATGGACCAGCATGTTTGCAGGAAGTTGCGGCACATCTCAGTACATCTCAATACTGGCAAACCGATGAAGGTGTTGAAAATTGGATTATTAACAACGTTCGAGTATCCCAGACTCCCGATGGTCTTGTCAGGTAATAATTAAAGCCTAACTGACGGATTTAAAACATGAATTTGAAAATAAAAACCAGGAAAAAATCCGTTAAAGAAAAATTAATAAATGAAATTAAAAGTATTCGCAATTAATTTGATCAAAACATTTGATGTTAAATTTCATTATTGTGTAATTAAGAAGGAGAATTATATTATTCTCTCTTCATAGAAAGTATCTTATTTCTATTTTTTATCCTAAAGATTATCTATATATGTCAATTTGTAGATTCTTAAATTGAAATACATATGTACTGGGTAAAGTATTATTGTTTTTCCATAATGAACGGATTACACATCAAAGAGATACGATAGCTTATAATTTTTTGTTACTTAATACAATCTTAATATATTCTTAAATTATTTTTAATGTATCCTTAATCCTTTTTTCATTGTACAATAGGATTGCACGAAATAGCAATAAGTATCAACTACGTACATCCCCTAGCAATGGTACAGCTTCATTGACGACACCCTTCCTGCACTGTACTGCGTCCTTAGGACAAACGTCTCATCTGTTTGTACGCCGTGGTGAGCGTCGCATGCATTACGATGGTACTAGCTTCATCGTGAGAAATGCAGGTCACAGCGCCGGCTTTGATGACAACAATCAGTTGAAGGTCTACTAGAACAAAAGCTCCGTAAAATGTCTTCTCGCTTAGGGTTTATCTATCTACGAACGAGCATCGATGAATATAATCATCTTAGATTGTCAAATAGTCCGACCATGACCTGGGCCCTTATTCTGTAACTATTTTACATGCCTACCGACAGTTGTCGATGTCGTTGCGTAGCTTTTTCACCATATAAAATATCTGCGCAACGACACTGATAATTGTCAGTAGGCGTGTAAAGACAGTTACAGAATAGTGGCCCTGGTGTACTGTGACAATTTAATTTCAAATGTTCAACGAAAGTTAAGAATCACTTTCGTTGAGGTCTTAAACGAGAATACACTAGACCACAACATTAAATACTTTAATTATGCTCGCGCTTCTACATTTAGAGATTTACTCAAATCTCATTTTACTAGAGTTTAGTAATTTAATTGAATTGTCTTATCTATTCGTGGCTGATTTGATCTGGCAAAATGTTCAATAAATGATTTCGAATGATTCGAGCATTTTATTTATGCAAAATTAATTTTTATTTATTATAATCGTGACGTATGTCTTTATAATAAAAAATTATATCTGAAGAATGTATAAAAAATATAAGTACTTATTTTCTAATATACACATTAACATTCATACTAACATTCACATCTTAATATCTTTTTGGTTATTTTGTTTGATTATCTGTCACATTTCGGGAAGAAAAATATCATGAAGTTATCGCAAAGTTTTATTAAGGTGATCCTACACGGTTAATAATACTGATTAGTAATATTGAATCAGTAATATTGAAAACTAAAATTCAGATCACTTGTCAGTATTCTATGTCATCCATCAAAATCAACCACACACAATCAGTAATACTGTTAGTATTCGTTAGTACTGACAGTTTTATTGATTGTGTAGGGTCATCTTTAAGCTTATTAAGATCACAGTTAACAGAATTTCATCCTTTATGATTACATAGTGTAAATTTTACTCAGTTGAACCATGGACTATAAACAAAAGTCTATAATTTTTAAATTTCTTTCACCTTATTTACACTTAAATTGATATTTGAACCAATTCTTGATCTTATAATATTTTGCTTTTATAAAGCAACGCTGAGTTCTTCACGTATCTTCTCGCTCCGTTTCCGATTCTTCTTCAGATTGTAGTCCTTTTTCAAATGCTCGGCCTATCTTGGATAAGACCTGATTTTTGCGAACTCTGATACTGCAGAAGAATTATCATTATAATCGATGCTTCAACTTTTAATATATTTTTATTTAATTTCGAATCAATGTGAATAGGTCCCTCTTTAAGTATATAATAAAAAAATTGCACATCTTTAAAATAAAATTACAAAAAATGTTTACTTATACAGGCTGCGTTTCGTTATTCGTTGCAAGTACTAAAAATCTATAATGCACATTACGCATACCATATATTTTCAGTGTTCACAGTGAATAACAGAATGCAGTTACAATTACATATCTTAGATCGCTAAGTAAAGCAATTATTTTTTTTAACAATTTAGAAAAAAATTTTTTAAATTAGCAGTAAAAATTAGTAATAGATAAGATTACGACAATAGAAAGAATTTTTACATGATGAAAATCGTATTTCATTATAAAAGGGATATGATTTAAATTACTTTAAATGTCCTAATTCAAAAACTTTTCCTTCATATTTCTCAAAACTTGTGTAAAAAATTGAACCTTTTAATTTTTTTTATCTTTATTTTATATTTCCCTGGTGAAAAAATTTCGATGAAAAACGTGAAATTATTTCACATTTTGGAACATTTCAGCGAAATTTTTCCATCAGGGTTTTGATATACCTTTTATAGAATCATTATTTTTGAGATTTTGTACCATTCGTATCGAATTAAAGCTATTGATCATTCATATAAAGTATCCTTAAATCGATGACATCAGAAGTGAGAAAACACATAATGAAAATTCTTGCAAAATATATTAAAATAGAAATATTTCTCAATAATATTTGCATCTGATACGGTATATTTATGAAATATACCAAAAACTCTCTTTTTATCTCGAAATAGAATATATTTATCTCAATGCGACAGCTGTCATATAATTTATTTCGTTTTCCAGTTAGATATAATTAAAATATATGGTTATTTATTGATTATTAAAATACAAAGAGAGTTCTCGGTATATTTTATAAATATATTCTATGAATTGCAAATGTTCCTTTATTAGAAAGCAAGAATTTTCATGTATTTTTCTTGCTTTTGATGTCACAATCCAAAATGATCGCAGTGAATAGTCACGAGCCTTAAGAGATTACTTACCGTTTTTGACCTTTCTGAACAGTTTCGGTCAATGCCGCTGCTGTTGATGCTGTTGATGGCTTACTACTACTAGTGTTTTTCACATCGGATGATTTAACAAATATTCTACTTTCCGACTGTATTGTACGAATGTCATCAACAATATTGTCTGCTATGCTAGCATCGTAAAGTTGCAGGCTAGAATCTCCTTCCGCATCGTACAAAGCACGCTTCTTTTCTTCATAGACCTTACTTAGCTTGCTGATAGTCGATAACAGCTTCTCTGGTGCCGCTAATTCTTTAATTCCTGGCATCAAATTAACATCCAGCTTGGGTTGTTCTTGCTTCTGATAGAAATGTCTCTCGATACCATACTGTGAGCAAAAAAATGCTCTCATGTTAATAAAAACATAATTTTTAGTAAATATAAATAAATTTTTTCTCTCGTAAAAAATTTTACGAATCGCTATTTTAATATTTACACTCATCGACATGCTAAAACTTTCCTGAAAAAGAAGAGTGATTTCCCATAGATTTTTAGGTGCTGAAAACGATGCTGTCCTTAGAATTTGCCTATCATGTCACATTTTTTAGAAAAATAGGAAGATCGAAATCCTTAAAAAATGCATTTTTAGCAATTTTTGAAAAATCATAACGAACAAATCTGACATACTAGAAACTCATAACAAATCTTAAACGAAAGCCTAAACATTGTACTCGAGCCCAAGTATCCTCATTATTACGAAACTATTTACCTACGTCATGTAGCAACGTGTATTTGTAGTGCAGTTGTGCGCGCGAACGCCCACCTATCTGCACTACACGTTAAAGCACGGAAGTCGGAAAACTTAACAGCAGAAGAGATTGTATTTTATCCAGTAAATTTGCCGTTAATGACTGTCAAATTACTTTTAAAAGAGCAAATTATAATAGAATATGTTATAAATAATTATTTATAATAGGTATTTATATAAGTTTTTATATTAGCTTCATTATGCTATTATAACTTAGTCTCTTAGAAGTAATTTAGACAATCATTAATGGCAGATTTATTGAATAAAATCTCTTCTGCTGTTAAGTTTTGCGATTTCTATCCTAACATGCAATGATGAATGTGCGCACACGAGCACAACACTACACATACACATCACTGCACGACGTAGATAATAGTTTCGTAATAATGGAGATATTTGGTTTGAGTACAATGTTTAAATTTTCACTTAAGGTTTTTTAGAACTTTCTAGCACGTCAAATTCGGCTACGATTTTTCAAAAATCACTAAAAATGTATTTAAAAGTTTTAAATTTTTTAAAAGTTTTAAACCCCATTTTAAACCTACCATTTTTCTCGAAAATATAATAGGCAAATTCTAAGGGTAGTATTTTCAGCGCTCAAAAATCTACGGGACTAAAACTACTTTCCTTCTTCAGAAAACTTAGAATGTCGTGTTATTAACAGGCGACATATACAAAGTGCCCGATAATTCTGACGGAGTTCGTGGACATGTAGAGCGGACTAAACTGAGACGGAAAGTCCTTAAGGGGACATTTACCTTATTTCTCTTTTTTTCTTTATCTTTCATGCTCTTTATTAATTATAAGTGTTCTTAACTAAATTTTTAATTATTGAGAAGTTTTGTCTATAAAATGTGAATGTTTAAAAATATCGAGCAAGTGAGAGTAGCAGTAATTGTTGCGTAATCTTTTTTACAAAATGTTCATGTATTTCGTGCAACAGAGCTGCTCGCACTTGCCCGATACTTTTAAACATTCACACTTTAAATACTGAGAGTCAAAAATATTCTAATGTTTTATCTATAGTTCTATTAATAGTATCTGTAACTTGGAAAAAGTATTTTTAATTCAGAATAACATATACCTCACTATCGCTAATGCAATGAATAAACACACGATCAACAATCATTTTGCATAAGATATAGTTAGCATCATGATATTCCTCTTGTTTTATTTGATTGTGCAGCTCCATTAAGCAACTCCAATCTGATAGAGTCATTCTGATCTTTAGTTGTTTTACTGGCATTTTATAGTAAACTCCATATGTAAGGTACAGAGTCCCTATACGTTCCTTTAAACTGGATGCATTTACCAGAAATTGCTTTATTATGCAAAGGGCATCTTCACAAAATGTCGTTAAAGCTGCCTCCGAAGGATGATAGCTGTAAATATGAAAACTTGTTTAAAAATTTTTGCAAAATTGAAATGTGTGTAAACTGATTTTCTGATACACATACTTTACAGAGCTTTTAAAAAATATTTTGGAGTAAAATTAAAGAAAAACAAAGAGTACGTACGCAAAAACCAAACCAAACTGCATTTCTTTCCAGATCTCACAGAAGTTTTGAAAGTGAGTATTATAAGACAATTCGAAGCGCGTTATTAGCGTCTGGCAATCAGTGCGAAAAGCCTCCATTAAACACTTCTCTATTAAGAGACAAATATTAAACAGTATAATTATTACTTACAAAAATATTGTCGAATGAACCTAATTTTATTGATTTTTGAGACGAAGTCCCTAAACTGTATAATTACCCGAAAATATTAAAGAACCTTTTTTTCTACTGATTTATTCCATTCATCGTAAAAAAATTCAAACATAAAAAAATCAGTGTCGTATTAATTTTTTCGTTAAAAAATCGTATCCGCATCAAAATAACTCAAATAATTTACGAAATTTTTTTCAACTTAAACACCACATATCTTTAAGACGGTAATTATTTAGAATACCCCTCCCCCTTCTAAAATCTTAATAAGAATTTACTCATTCGACGCGTATTCACTCAAAACGGAAAAAATCTGACAGAAAAACGCAGCGGTCGACCT